CAGAAACACAGTGAGAAGAAACTAAGAGTTCCCAAATGCTTAGGTTTAGTTCACCTTAGACCTGGGCTACACTGGGGGGGGGGGGGGTTGAACTAAGATACGTAACTTCAGCTATGCTATTCACGTAGCTGAAGTCGAAATATCTTAGTTCGACTTACCTGGCGGTCCTCATGGCAGCAAGTCAACCGCAGTGGCTCGCCCATCGACTCCGCTTACTCCTCCTGCCGAGGTGGAGTACCGGTGTCAATTCGGGGATCGATTTATCGCGTCTAGACCAGATGCGATAAATCGATCCCCGATAGATCGATCGCTACCTGCCGATCCAGCGGGTAGCGAAGATGTACCCTAAGTCTCAGTTAGAGTCTTTGATCACCAAATCTATACAGTTTGCTGAGTCTAAAACAACCTCTTCCCTCCACTTGCTCATAGGAATCTTCAGTTGGAATCCGTGCAGATGCTTCCTCTGCTGAAATCACTGCTAGCCAGTCAGCTGACTGATTTACCAACCACTCAGTTAAGTCACAAGTGTATAGATTTAAAGAAAACCCTGCTGCAAAACACTTCTGAGTTAGGGACAACAGCCTGCTTTCTGCTCCTGGGCTCAGCTTCTCCCAACTCACACAGGAAACATGGCTCTTAGTAAAGCAGCTGCCCTGACTGCTTGCCCTCATGGAGTCTGACCTCAGCAACAGGGAACCTATTGGAGCAGACCCAAAACTACCACACCCAATTCCAGAAGCTTCTGGATGTGGAGTGCTAAATCTGCCTAGCAACAATGACCCAGACACAACTCACTCCTATCTCCCCAAAATGGGTCTCTTAAAGAGATATCTCCCTATTAGGCACATGGGTTACACCAGCACACTTCAGAGCTTGAAAGTGCAGTGATTCCCAGAACTGCAATGACATTTTTTAGATGTGCACTGACTTTATAGAAACATACTCTGGAGAGTAATACACTAGAATAATACACTCACTTCTTTAGTCCTATCGGGAATTTAGATAGATAGATTAGATTGTGATTGTATCTACATAGATGGCCAAGTCAAGCATGTTAGTCTAAGTATCTTCTAGCTGCTTCCCTCCTCCCCAGCTCCCCACTCACAGTTTGCTGTCTAGGGTTGGAGAAGTCCAATGTCAGTGATGTCTGGGCTGTAGCACCTGACCCAGCTGGAATGACTTAGGTAGGCTGCTGCTCTCTCTGCAGCTTCTCCCCAAGCTGCCACCACTCTGCACTCTCCATTGTCTCACGACTGCTGCTGTTCATCTTTTTAGAGAAAGATCAATGGTACCAAGCAGGGGCAGCTCGTCAGCCAGGCAAGTGAGGCAGAGCCTAACCAAGAATTCCCAAAAGCTACAAAATACATTGTACATATTCTTTTTTATTTAATTCATAAATATATACAGATTTGAGAACAAATGGTGATTTGATTAAAGTGTCACAACTCACTCTCTCTAGCAGCAAAGCTCAACACCAGCAGAAACTTTGAAGAACACAGTGCTGCTGAGGCTGAAATCTTGGTATAGCTAAAGTGCCTCACAGAGCTGCCTTGGCAATTTACCATACCCAAGAGTTGCTTTATAGGGGCATCACTATGGTAATCACTGCTTGGTGAGGCTATGGCAGGATTGTAACAGGTAAGCCTGGGCTGCAGGGTGTTTGTAGGGGGCCAGGATGGAGCCTGCACCTTGCGCAGGCCCTGTGCATGCATACAAGGAGCCAACGATGGCAGCTCTAGGGCCCACCTGCTGTTTCTTCACAATAAATAAAGTAAGTTTTTAATAGCTATTAAACTATACATTGGGTGGGGATAGGGCTAAAGATAACTATGTTATGGTTTGTACTTCACCTGTCAAAAGTCACCTGCCACCACTGGGATCAAGAACCCATAATAGAGTCCTCACCAGAAAGGTCCTCATCCCCAGCAAATAGAAGTTTTATCCTCTTTCTTTTAAACCTGTTCAGCCTCCCTTAACCACCTCTGCCTGACTGTAGTGTCGATCAGGCTGACCACAGTCACCTGTGCTGTAGATCCTTTGCCCTTTCATATCCCAACAGGGTCACCTGAATTTTATTCCCCCTCAAATTCAACACGTATCTGTATTTTAAGCAAAATACCTCAAACCATCACACAAAACTGAAATGCAAATGAGGCTAGGCCCACCCTGTTCATTCCCCTTGCTCTCCAACAAGTGCTAGCAGAGGGGCTCCCTTGCCAGTGGAGCCCCTGGCCATCTGCAAATCTTAAGCAACTCTGTGCTGCTCCTTCTTGTCCCATTTCACCAAAAATTAAAAACAATAGCGATCTCTCAATTCTGTGGGCCTTCAGGCCACTGGGCTTATGCTATCATTTTCAGTGTAGCACAAAATGAAGCATCCAAACAAAGGACTGCAGCATTTCACCCTGGGTTTACTCCTCCAGGCAAATTTAAATTCATTTGATGTTGCAGGTTAATTAATAAACAGGGCAATTTTAAAGAAAAAAATTGAAAAATCCACATTGACACCAATGCAAAATGTTTGGCTGAATGTGAGAAAAGACCCACTAATGGCTACAAACATCCATGCAGGAAAAAATATATTCCTACTTAATGCTGTTGATGCTATATCTGACAAGGAAACTTCCTAATATAGTGTCCAAGTTTCTGAAGATGCCATCCAAGAATAAACAGGAAAAGTAGGACAAGATAATCTTTTGCTCAAACAACAAAAATAAAATGAAAAAGATGAAGCTACTTCCTGGATGCATTCATAATAAACTTCTGACAGAGGGGCAAACTATTTAAAGCTCACTGAGAAAGAAATAACACCAATGTCCTAACACACATTGCAGAAGTTCAAAAATTCCTCTGCAGCCACCATCAACCTGATGGTTGGTTAATTTAAAAAAGAAAGTAGATGCATCAACTTCTCAGTGACTCGTGGTGCAACTCTCAGGGCCATTATGGACTAGATCCTGCCCTGTGCACCAGCACAGCCCAAAGGCCAATCTACCTGGACACAGGAGGATTCCCAACATATCTAGGAATCCTTGATGATGTAGACCCACTGTAATGACTTCTCAGCCACCCCCACCCCACATCCAGGTGCTGGTTGGGTTGGCTCCCTGATGCCTCAATGCCACGCGCTGCCAGAATGGGCATGGGAGCGCTGCTGGCAGCTGGTATAGGTGAGAATTGCTCTCACGCAGTTCCCATTTGTGCTAGGGTCTGGCCCAGTTCCTGGATAATCCCTGTATGGGATCAGAGGACAGAAAGGTGGCTTTAAAGTACCTGTGCAAACACATACCCCTGTAGATTTGTATCAAGTGCCCTTCAGCCACACCAGAGAATCAGGGCCTGATGATGCTACTGTCACAATCTTAGTGGGAATCTGGCTTGATCTAATTAACCGCAGAGACCTGGAACCACCAGAAGGACAAAATGGAAAAATGATTCAGAGACCTGGGGAACTTTTCCATTAGATGGACAGCATGGCTGACCCCAAATAGGAAATTAATAGACTGAGCCCAAAACAGGGAAGCTGAGGGAAAGGAGTTGAGTTCCTGCCTTCTCTTGTAGCATTGCCAGTTGAAGACCTACACTTCTACTTTTAAACCTGTTTGAGAAGAAGACGATGTCACAATGCACTGTATCAGAATGGTAGGAGCAGGTGGAAATAAAGTCATGGAAGACAAAGCAGTTGAATTCAAAATATTGACAATGCTTAAAAGACCTTCACATCTGCCCAGCCATCTCATCACATTTGGACTGGTTTGATGGAAACTCTGTAACAAGTATTAAAAAACAAAATAAGTGGGTAAAAGAGTATTGTTATCTCTGGGCCAATTCAAAAGAGCAATAAACATCACTTGCTTGTAGTCTGGGGAGTTTATTATTACATTGTTGTGTCTTATGTATAGAATTAAAAGCTTTTCATTTGGCCCTTCTTATCTTTTACGAATAAATATTGAGTATGAAATTATGTATTTACCTGGTATGCTTTGTGTTTATTTTAATAAAAACTTGGAGGGAGGAGGCTGGAGATTTTGATGCAATTTGGTGTGTTTTATCAATGTATTCCCTGCTGAATTATGGTAACAGTGATGTCTAAACACACTGCAAACAGGTGTAGCAGATTCTGCCTCTGCTGCCCAAAGCAGAGCCATCACTGTTCCCAGTTCGGATGGCAAAGTGCTTCCCTTGAGGAGGGAACCGGATTGGAATTGTGCCAGCACTGAGTCCCCATAGTTCCAGAAGTGCCTGAAAAACCGCAGTACCCAAGACGCGATTAACCGTCCTAGGGTCACATTTGCGATTCCTTCGCATTAAATGCAGGAGACCACATCTACTCTAATTGTTAGGACAACGGTGTAGTTTGCAAAAACCACAGGTCTCTGGGTGCAAGATAGCAACTTTAGCGAGCAGTCTGCCACTCAGATCAGAGGAAGCATTGCTCACAGGAAACTGTACTGTCTGCAAGTCACACCTTCAGCATCGTGCTATATGTATTTATAAAGTTCTGTCGGTGTGCATGGCCCTGTGCAACAGGTAGATACTGTAACCTATTCTGAGACGTTCCCGACTTTGAGCCTTTAAAATCTCAGCTAAGCCATGCGGGACAGGGACCAGTGAATGTGCAAAGGAGTCCCTGATTGTGATCTTCATTCTCTTATGTACCGTAGAAATGGCAACTTCTTATATGACAGATTAATTATAATGTTGTTCGGTTCACAAGCGAACCACACAACTTTCAACAGGTACCTGCAATTTAAAGGTATCAGTTCAACCTTTGACTTTGCTGTTTGCACTTCTCTTTACCAGACAGAATTCTCCTGCATGTTCGCAGGCAGGGTCTCTTTTTCCTAAGGCTTTATCAGAACAAGTTCCGGTAAGAAAGATCTTCTTCTTCTACTGTTATTGAACACGCTGTTATTTTTTCACAGACCAAAGTAAATGAACATGCCTGATGCAAAACCATGCTTACTTGACATTATTTTTAAAAATCCATTGTAATTTAATGTACAAAACCATTTAGTGCTCACAGTAGGTGTAAAAATACATTTACAATTGTATACAAGACAGTCTCTAAAATGTGACCTTGTAAACTTCCCGGATTTAAAATTCCAGTAATAGTGAAGTGTAGTATGCTTAATATACTTCCAAGAGTGTGTGCATTTCCCAAGATGCTATCGATCATCATTATTTTATTACCTCACATTCGTTCTAACAAAACTGCTGCGAGAGAAACCAGGCAACATCTTTCTTTCAAAGATATCTCAAGAACAGTAATACTACTGCTAATAAACAATGTCTGTGAAGGGACACCAACAACCCGAAAGCCACGATGCTGTGTGAAAATGTTCTATCTGCCCTACCACGATCACTAGAAGTGAGGGAAGTTGCTGCGGCATATGTCTCCCCCATCCCCCCAGTTCGTTTGGGGTGTGTATTTGACTAGTTGTGTGTACAGTCAGTTTTGCTGTTTCCCCTTGTGTAGTTAGCTGGTGGCTGAAAAGACCCTCGTAACCATCAACAGGGGAGCAGAGAACCCCTTATTCACATTTGAATTTTTTTTAAAAAAAGTTTCAAGGCTCACACTATTTACAGGGTTTTAAAAAAAATCCACATGGATAGTGTCCCTTTAAGTATCTAGCATAATGACAGGTTTCAGAGTAGCAGCCGTGTTAGTCTGTATCCGCAAAAGGAAAAAGAGGACTTGTGGCACCTTAGAGACTAACCAATTTATTTGAGCATAAGCTTTCCTGAGCTACACGAAAGCTTATGCTCAAATAAATTGGTTAGCCTCTAAGGTGCCACAAGTCCTCCTTTTCTTTTTAAGTATCTAGAGTATCTCTCTGAACCTGCTCAAAAGTTGAAAAGGTCACAGCAATGGCTTCAAAAGAAAAAACACACCACAGCTGTATTGTGGTAAATGCTTCTTTTCCTTACCAAAAAAAAAGTGCTTCCAGTTTTTGCGACAGACAACGTCCTGTAAGTGGAAGTCACCTTGGGGGACTAGGGTCGGCGGATCAGTGCTAAGTTCAAGTGCAGGCAGTGCGAAGTTTTCATGGGAGACCTTGGCCAGTGTAGTTAGCTGATCGTTTCCTGGCTCAGCTGGGAACCCATCTAAACTTGTAGCCCCCGGTGGCTGTCCTGATGGTGAAAGCATTTCCCTGGGGGAAAGCTAGTGTCCGGATCGTGCCGTGATCTGTGATGGAGGTCCTGAAAGACACACCTTCCTCCAGCTCGCTGTCACTCAGGTCCACCGCGCTGCGGCTGCTGCAAGTCTGCAGGCCGCTGAACGCCCCGTACATGTGAATAGCCTGGCCCTGGCTGCCCGGAGCTCGTGCTGCCTCCGCCTGCAGCCGCGGGCGCTTCGCCTCTCTGTGCTCATCGATAGCCTGCAGCGCCGCGTTACAGGTGTCTGAGATCTCCCGCAGGATTTCATCCACTTCTGCGCAGTCCTCCTGCCTGGCCGCGTACAGCTGCTCCAGGCTTCTCTTAGCTGAGCTCCTGGGAAGGAAAGCGTCGGCCCCCTCCTTGGACTGGTGGATCATCAGTTTCTGTGGGTAAAACAACATGCAACTGGCTGCTTTAAACCGATCGCCGTGGCTCCCACTGGGCGCATCGCGTGGACCGGGGAGGTGCAATACACCCGCGTGGGAGCTTAGCTTCGGCTCTGGCTCCGCGTTTCCGGCCTCAGGGCGCCCCCTGGGGGTCTCAGGGCTGCAAGCCTCGAGCAGTGAAAGGAATCGCTGCATGTCATTGTCACTTTTGTACCCCGAGGACGGTGCTTTGGGAAAGAAACCTGGAGGAACACTTACATCGAGCACACAGGCCAGCTGCTTCGCCTGGCTAGCTAGCTCCTTCAGCTGCACGTTTCGTTCCTTCAGGGAAGTGATCTCTTCCTGCTTTTGGGTTAATGTCACGTGCAGCTGTTGAACGACAAGGTGTCAGTTTGAAATCAAACATTTCCTCTACCGTAGAAAGTCAGGTTACAGCTGGCACGCGTGCTCACACGCTGTAGCGTGCACACACCGTACACAAACCGATTTAGCCTCTTTACTTTTGCAAACAGTATTGATCAGTAACTAGGGACCGTTCAGGAGACCACTTTGCTCAACAGAGCTAGCCAATGGTGCGCAATATGTGACATTGGGATTACTCCGCTATCGAGCCAGGACCAGTTAGTTTGGAAGGAATATAGGACGTAGGCAACCCCGTCTGAGTAATCTCTGCAATACCTGAGCAGAATGATACGTTCTACCTTCATACCTGATTATTTTCCACCAGTGCATCCCCTAACGCTTTCTGGTTTTGGTCTGCCACATCTTTCCAGTACTGTTCCGCGGAGTTTTGCAAGTTCATGTGCGGAAGAGGATTGTTTTGTGACCGTTGAATACAAGGGCTAAAGGCTGATCCGTCGCCGAGAGGAAAAGTGAAGTCCGCCGTGTCCAGTGGAGGTGGCATTAAGGAGGATGGGTCTATGGAGGAAATCACAAGGGTGAGCTCATCATATCTCTTTACGCGTTCGCTGCTAGACCTGACACCGACACTCAAGTTCTTGCTGCTACTACAGTGAATCGTAAAGATCTGAACTGGTGTTTAATTCAGTCGTGTGAGTCTGGACACCCTACTAACGTACCACACCATTGGTATGCACCAAACACGCATATTTCGTTTGCATCTCCTTGGGGGGCTCCTTGGGGAACAACATTTAAAAAAACAATATGTCAGTGCAAACTTTTCTTAACGAATGCTAGATTGGTGCATTCAGTTATGTAATGTCCAATGACTAAACTGATAGCAAATTAAACTGGTACCCAAAAAGGCAAAAGCACCTGAGGGGACCAAAATGCAATGTCTGAAGCTAGGGGACCATAGGCAGCCAGTGCTCTGTATGAATAAGTGTGTGAATATGCAATAAGAAAAGTACTTGCCACATATAAAACTATCGACAGCATCTCTGAACTCCTGGAAGTCGAACTCGGGTTCAGGTTGCAAGCAGTGGCTCTGAAACATGTAAAGGAAACATAGAAGTTAATCAGTGCATTCAGATTCGCCAATCAGATCTGCCCACACACTAATGACGGGTCTCCGGCGCTGCTTCGCTTCGCTTGCCGGTGTGCACACGCTCTGTTGTGCGCACACTCACATACCTGGAACTCTAGCCCCCAAGCTGGACCCTGGAAAGGGCAAGCTTGTACTGCCATGGTCAGGGTAATGGCTGATGCGCAGCGCTTAGTGTCTCTACCAGTATAAAGGTGAATGTGGCAGGTGACTAGTAATTGGGAAACCTCTGATCCGTTAACCACGTTAGAGGCTTTGGCCAACTCTGCCGAGTCCCTCGGATGCGGCCAACCCCGGTGGCACGCGTTGCTACAGCCTGCCTGCCCCGCGGCCCCCCATATAGGGTGCTTACTCTATTCTCATTGGTTAGCAACACGAGCCAACCGTATTCGGCCAGCCTGGGCATTCCTCCAGAGTCAGTGAAAGATTAACCCGGGCGCTTCTGCTACAACAGCATTTCTCCCACACCTCGCTCTTAGATACTGTGCGCCCAGGCAGGTGTCTGTCTCCAGAGAGCCTCCTGCCTTCCTACGGATCGCTTCATTCCTTCACCGCTCTTCTCCTCTCTTCCACTCTCTCTCTCTCTCTCTCTCACTCTCTCTCTTTCTCCTGATTTTGGATGGATGGAGGAAAGCGCACTTTCTTGTGCACCCCATATAGCATTCTGTATGAACAGTACATCTGTGATCGTGGACAGAAGCACAGTGTGGACAAAGAGCATCCTGGCAAATAACAGTCCTTTAAAACATGAACTTAGCTTGTGTGCAATTGCACGCCGGTATTGACTACACCGAGGGGAAAGGAAATTGTGCAAAAAAATGTGTACCGTAATTCAGCTCATGTTGTATGGAGAATTTCCCTACGAGTGCTTTCAAAGGAAACTGTATGGCAGAGAGGATTGTGTGCAGTGTGGTTACACCTTTTTAAAATTTCTTCTTCCTACATTCAATCTGCCATCCATTTGTCAGCTCCACTACACAAAGGAAAGCTCCAGACACAACAAAAGCCCCACCTGTGTTCTCTGGCATCCTCCCTCTCAGATTCAGCTGGTACTGCAGAGGACACAGCTAGCTGTATATGTGTCTGTCATGTATACATTTCCCATTTTTGTTTCAGATCTTATGTATTAATCTTTTAAACATGCAGCAGCAAGACTTCTAGCTAAAACAGAGCAACCAGGACATACCACTTTGCTCTCATTCTCAGATTCTGGATCCAGGTAAAGGTCCTCATCCTAATCTTTCAAGGCCTGAATGGGGTTGGGTCTAGCTATCTTTGAAGCCATCTCCCTTTCCATCACCCATCAGCTGTGATCAAGAGGGATGCTACTATTAATGAACCTCAGAGCCTAGCTTTATTGGTCTGGACACCAAAGTCATTGGGTGTATCATAAATACATAGAAAGACATGACCTAGGGACAAGATTCTTGTGGTAGGAGACCCTCCTTAGAAATGGAGATCAGGATGAAAGCAATATGTGTCACTTTTAAGGTGCAGTGCAAAAGTGTCTCTCTTTCAGCAAGCCTTGCCCAGACAATGAGGGCTGCAGAATAGCCCCGTTCACACAAGATACACAATAAAGAATAACCCCTCTCAAGAGAGCAACATAAGGAGGGAGAGATATAGTGGGCCTTGGATAGAAATTGTGCCCATTTTACAGATGGGGGAACTGAAACTCAGCGAGGGTAAGTGACCTGCAAAGAGATGTCTGTGTCACAGCTGGGAATGACAGACTAGAATTCAGATCTCCTGTCTCCTAGTGGTTCTGTACTGTAACAACAGCATCACGCACCCTCAGTGAGCAAGCACTGCTTTCAATAACCCCTTTTCCTACATCTGTACCAGTTATCTTTTTCTGATCTCCCGCACTTTTGGAGTGAACCCCAGTAATTTTATCTTCATTTCAATCCCCCAAAAGGGAGTGTTTTGACAAGTAAAGGGGCAAAGCGCTATTGAGCCAAATGCCTATTCACACAGGCTCTGTAATTCAGCTCAGCTTGAAAAAAGAGCGTGCTGCAAAACTTTTCAAATGGTGTAGCTAATGCAGGGAGCTTTGAAACAGTAGTGTAGGATTTTTCATTCATTTTATTAGTGCCTAGTAGATAGAGCACTGGACTGGGACTCAGGAGACCTAGGTTCTATTCCTTGCTTTGCTATTGGCCTGCTGGGTGACCTTGGGCAAATCACGACTCTGCCCTGTGCCTAAGTTTCCCCATCTGTAAAATGGGGATAATGATACTGACCTCCTCTGTAACACACTCTGAGCTCTACTGATGAAAACTCCCCTAGAAGAGCTAGGTATGATTATATTATTCCAATAGCATCCAGAGGCCCCAATCACAATCAAATCCCCATTGTGCTAGGAGTGGTACAAACATTGCAAGAGACAGGGCCTCCCCCCACCCCGCACGACAATCATGTGAGGAAAGAGATGGTGGCATAAACTAGCAGGGCTGAATGGCTTGGAGTAAACTTAAAAATAGAAACTCTAAGACAAATAAACAGATACAATAGAGAGTAGAGGTTCCTACTAGCCCTCCACCTACTCCTGTCTGTGGATTGCTTCCAAAATGCTAGGCAGTATTTGTTTTGATTTATACATTTCTTATCCCATTTCGGGAAGAGTCTCAGCTCAGCCTTAGGAGTGGCTGATTTCTGACCCTTTTGAAACCCAAGACTGCTCATCTACTGTTAGAGCAGGGGTTCTCAAACTGTAGATCGCAACCTCATTTTAATGCGGTCACCAAGGCTGGTGTTGGCCCTGAAGCCCAAGCCCCACCGCCCAGGGCTAAGGTCACATGGCCCCCACCCAGGGCAGAAGCCTTTGGGCTTCAGCTTTGCTTCTCCGGCCAGGGCAGTGGGGCTCGGGTGGGCTCGGACTTCAGGCCCCGTTGTGGGTTAGTGTAGTAATTTTTGTTGTCGAAGGGGGTCCCCAGGCAATGAAGTTTGCGAACCGCTGTGTTAGAGGTTTCTGCCTTACTCTCTAGAGGGCCTGAATGGGCCAGATCCAACGCTCACTGGTGTCACTGGGAGTATTTCCACTGATTGCAACAGGCTTTGGAGTATGCTCCATATCCGCACCAGGATGAGTAAGAAAGAGGCCAATGTCTGTCTGTAGTAGCTAGCTGTTTCCAGAGCATAGGCACTGAGTGCCCCCTTCTCCAATTCCCGCACTGGGTCCTTTGTCTTCGCCACACAGCCTACAGCTGCTAGTCGTCCCTAAACCAACCCATCTGCTGCAACGGGAGAGGGTGGGACAGAAGGGAGAGCCCGGGGATGAAGCAGAGCCAACACCCAGCCTGGAGCCGGCAGCGTTCTATGAACCGTCAGCACCTGTTCCGAGCTGGAACCAGGGGGAAGAGGGTCCTGTCTGACTCTGGGTTTGCAAAGCAATAATCGCTTGATCCCTGTTGGCTCGTCCATAGGATCGCCTTGCTGCACGTGCAGAGCCTGCTGTTCGGGGCATGACTGACCTGCAGGTGATACTTCCAAACGGAATGCACAGCGAGCTCATTAACCAGCTCCCCTCTCTTTGCAGCAGCCAGGGAATCAAGGACTCCTTGGGGTGCTTTGGGAAGATGGCTACGTCTTAACCTTTATGAACTACCCCAGAAGTCAGCAGGAGAATTGCCAAAGGGAGTGCTATTAAAGGGCAAGCACTTCAGCGTATTCAGAGACTCATCCCCCGCTGGCACTGATATCTACCAGAATGCCAGGGCGGCTTGATCTTTTCTCAGCTGGAGTTTACAAACCCCACCCATCGCGCATTTCGGAACGGATTGGCTATAGCAAGTAGCAGTCCTAGCTACCTGCCCGTTCATTTAAAGGCTGGTTAACCGCAGCTTGCCTGAGAAGAGCGAGGAAGGAGGTAAGAGAAGCGGCTCGAACGTGCGTGGAAATGCCTCTTCTTCCATTGCGAACGCCCGTGCTTCAGATGAAGTTGAGGAACAAGTGCATCTGAATTAACGGGGGGAGACTCAGAGACTGCCTCGTGGGGGGGTGTCCGGGGAGGCGAGAGGGTGTCAAATGGGGAGCGGAAGACTCAGTTACCTGCGGGGCAGCTGCAACACTAGAAGTCTCTTGCTGAAAGACCGAGGTGCAGTCTGCTAAATCTTGCCAGTCGATAGTAGCAAGTGCTGGGGTGGGGGGAAGAGAAACAGACATTTACAACAATGCTCATTGTAGGTGGCAAGTGCTGGGGGGGGAGAGAAACAGACATTTACACAATGCTCATTGAGGGGGGAAGGTGGTGGGGGAGAGAAACAGACATTTACAACAATGCTCATTGTAGGTGGCAAGTGCTGGGGGGAGAGAGAAACAGACATTTACAACAATGCTCATTGTAGGTGGCAAGTGCTGGGGGGGGAGAGAGAAACAGACATTTACAGCAATGCTCGTTGGAGGTGGCAAGTGCTGGGGGGAGAAAGAAACAGACATTTACAGCAATGCTCGTTGGAGGTGGCAAGTGCTGAGGGGCGCGGGGGGGGGGGGAGAGAAACAGACATTTACAGCAATGCTCGTTGGAGGTGGCAAGTGCTGGGGGGGAGAAAGAAACAGACATTTACAGCAATGCTCGTTGGAGGTGGCAAGTGCTGAGGGGCGCGGGGGGGGGGGAGAGAAACAGACATTTACATCAATGCTCGTTGGAGGTGACAGGTGCAGGGGAGAGCAGCAGCCCCTTCCACGCTCACTTTCCGCTCTTGCCCTGGTCCTTGCCCAGACGGGTGGCCAGAAGAGGCTAGGAGCAAGCCCGGGGGACTCCTGCTTCCACACAAAGCGGGGAAGGGGTTTCGCAGTCCCCACAACTCACCGAGCTCTACCGTGGCGGGCGGCTGGTCACTGTGAACTGCCGCCGGAGCGGCGCTGGCAAAGCTCTTCCGCGGCGCGGGACCGTCTCCCGGGCGCACCTTCCTCTCGAGTCTGGCTGGCTTCTTGCCGAGCCGGCTGCCCAGGTCACCCACCCTGTTGGGACAGATGCTGTCAAAGGCTTTCCGGCCGCTGCGGTTCCGCATGGCGCAGGCTGGACCCGGGGCCTTAGCTTAGCTCTGGCTTTGGGGACCCAGCGGCTCTCTCCGCCCCGCTCTTTGCTGGCAGACCCGTCCGGCGCCCGGCCCAGCGGCTGCCCATGGCCGTTACCGGGCTGGTTTTGACACCGTTGGAGGGGCCCCGACCGGTCTCCAGGGCAGCGGGTCCAGGGGGAGCGGAGAGGGGGGGTGACTGGAGAGCGGGGGCGGGGCTGGCTGCGGAGTGAGCGCCAGAGGTGGCGCCTTCGCCTTGGCACAATCTGCGCCCTGCAGAGGCGCTAACAGTCAACCCGGCAACAGGGCATCGCCCGGGCCCTGCAGCAGCGGCCGCTTTGCGCCCTTGCAGCGCACATTGGCGCCGGCATCCAACCGGCTTAGCCCAGCCCCGGACCAGAACCTGTTCGGCTGGACTCTCGGGCTCCAGCGCGCCAGGGGTCTGACGGGGCGCACAGCCCCGCCGTGCAGCAAAGAGCTGGGGAGTCACGGGCTAAGGGCTCAGAGAGCACGGTGATGGGCGATACTCAGCGGGGCCATAGCTAGGGACCTCCCCGTGCAGGACGCCATCGTGCGAGAGGTGCCGTTATTAAAAACATGACTCTGACAAAAAGGGGGGGAAAGATGTAACTACCCCAGAACCATGAACATCAGAGGTGAAACCTCGTTAGTTCCTCCAGACGATCCCTCTACCAAAGCAGGATACCCCCCTACATTACATTGTCTAGTGCGTGGTCCGGAGGCATTTTAAAGCCAAGGCCCCTTGTCTCTATGCTTTGCATTGTCCCCCTCATGTAGATTGTATCTCCCTGACTGTTTGTTTGGTCTGCAGAGTGCTTTGTACCTACATGCTCGCGTGTGAGTGCTAACCCTAATCACCAGTATCTGTAAAAGACGGTGTCTTCCGAAAGCTGTAACGCAAACTTCAGCAATACCCCTGAGCGGGACACAGCCCTGTGCGCAAAGAGATCAGCACAACTAGCTGTAATGATGGCTAGGCATACGATGTCTTGCGAAACGCACAACCCGGACCCGCTAGCAGGTGGCTCACAGTTTAAAGAGAAGACAGGTAGCAACTGTGTTTGTACAGGGCCTAGCACAATGGGGTCCTGGTCCATGACAGAGATTCCTAGACCATATAATAATAATAATTAATAATGAATAACTAGTGCCCCCCCACAACGACCTACAGAATAGGAGAGGACCCTAGAAAAAAGCAGGCGGTGAGGTTTTTCAAACCACCTGTTACTTGAGAACACTGTACATTACAGTGAGAAATAAATGCAAACAAGTCTGTTTGGGTGTGTTAATATATGTTTTTAAATGACCCTGACACATTTAAATGCCTTGCACTCTCTACACAGGTGGTCTTTCTAGTCTCCTAACATTACAAGTGCATCAGGTAAGGGTGCCTTAAGAGACTGAAACATTTGGATCCCTCCTAGTAGCATTTTAGGTCCCTATCTAAAACTGTATCTGCAGGACTGCATTTCCAAAATCAAGCTATAGGTTTGTCTTTGCTGGGCCCTTTTTTTGTCCATTTATGCCTCAGTACATTCATGACATTTTAGGGTCGGGACCAATCAAAAACTAGGGTGACAGCAGAATCAAGAAGGAGAAACAATGATGTCTGAGGGTAATGTCTACACTGCAACGTAAACCCAGGGTTAGTGGGACATGAGTCAGCTGACCCTGGGTTAGAGAGCCCAGAGCTTGAGCATCCACACTGATTAACCCTAAATTAAGATTTTTCTAACCCCAGGGTTTGAACTTGGGGCTCTACTATGTACATTGCAGCACACAGACCTGAGTCAAACCAGCTGTAGCACAGGCTCCTTTGCACAACGTGGCCACTCTCAGCCTTTGACTGTGGTGCACTGTGGGAAAACTTGTCTGTCCAGGGTGCGGGTTTCGGGAAGTTTGAACAGCCCACCAACACAGCCTGCCAAGGAGTCATTTTGGTCTGCGTACTCCCAGCTACCAGAGGCAGTGACACAGAGGGAGGCACCTTTTCAAGAACATCTTTTGCTTGCTCAGCGCTTTCCCTCCTGTGTCAGGAAATGGGCAGAGCTTCCATGAGCGCTGGTGGACATTTTGAGGGCGTTTTCTGACCCACCTAAGGCACCTGACAGAGCTTATAATAAGAAAAGGAGTACTTGTGGCACCTTAGAGACTAACCAATTTAGTCTCTAAGGTGCCACAAGTCCTCCTTTTCTTTTTGCGAATACAGACTAACACGGCTGTTACTCTGAAACCAGAGCTTATAATGGAGCAGGAGGAGGAGAACACAGGCATGGCAGACTTGAACTGGCTGATGCTGCTTATGACACTCCGTATAGCTGCTGATGCCCCTCTCCCATCCCCATAGACTGGAGCTTCTGATGCAAGGCCACAAACACAGATTGGTGGGATCACATAGTCATGCAGACCTGGGAGGATCAACAGAATTTTTGCAAGAAGAAAGCTACATTTCTGGAGCTTTGTGAGCAGCATGCTGCTCCAACCCTACAGTGTAAAGATACATGTGCCTTACCTGTCCTGAAGCCCGTTGTTGTTGCTGTCTGAAAGCTGGCTACCCCAGACTGCAACAGGTCCACTGCAAACCAGTTTGGTGTGGGGAAGTCAACCGCGGGTAAAATGGTGCCAGATGATTCTGAGGCAATCGGACCTGTGATTTACCCCAAGGTGGCAGGCATAAAAGATATTCCTAAAGTAATTGCTGACTGTCAGAGAATGGGGTTTCCAAACTGCACCAGGGCCCTTGATGGGACTCGGGTGCCCATAGTTTGCCCTCCTCGACGAGCTCATGAGTACCTGCAAAGGGTAATACTCCATTGTTATACAAGCCCTTGTGGACCACAGAGGTCAGTTTATGAGTGTCGGTGTGAGATGCACTGGAAAAGTTCACAATGCAATTATTTTTTGCTGAACGGGCATCTACATCCATGGATAGGCTTGGACACTAGTCCCACCAAATGACATTGTCATAAATTGAGTTACTATCCCCACCATTATTCTTGGGAACCCTGCATTTCCCCTTTTGCCTTGGATTATCAAACAGTACCTTGATTTCAGAGGCCCTGACAAAAGACTGTTTAATTACACTCCCAGGCAGTGTAGAATGGTTGTTGAATGTGCTTTGGCAGATTGAAAGCCCATTGGAGATGTCTACAAACCCATTTAGATGGCAGTGTCATTAATACGGTCCACATCACTGTGTCCTGCTGTTCTTTTCACAATCTCTGTGGAGCCAGAAGTGAGCCATTTCCCCCAATGGACCGATGGCAGTGAGAGGCTGCTGAATTGGTACCCCCAGCCAGAAGGTGCCCCTAGCATACCTGGAGCTGGACGCACCCAGGCAATAAGAGTCAGAGGTACTTTGTGCTCCCATATTATGGACTTGCACCGCCCAGGGAAAAAGGGGCAATAGTACCCCTATGAACGTACTTGTGGGGGGTGAGGATGGGGCTCATTCATTGTGCTACATCATCTAATTTTTCAGATGTGGAATATAAGCAAGATGATGCAAATGAATTTTTAATGGAAAAATAATACAATCATACATCATTATTTTCTACCGGTTGGTATTTTTTAAGACCTGTCATAGTTGTTAATTCTTTAGCAATTAATTTCCTCTGTGGAATATGTACAAAATCGGAAGGAAACAGACCATCATTGAACAGTGACAAAAAGTTTATTAAGAAATGCCTATACAGTACTTTTATTCTTCCCCTGGCTGCTGTTAAGGTGTGCTTAGTGAACCATTTTCTAAATAATTAAACTTTACAGTACTTGGATTATATACACTATTTATACAATGAATGTAGATATATGTCAGTGCAATTAACATACAGTAACGAAATGTGCAAAATGTGATTTAATTTTTGTCATATATCAAAACCAACACTGTAGAGTTCAAATAAATACAAATATAATACATTGATTTAGTCAACTAAGCAAGAGAATGAGGCCAATACTGTCATCTTTAGAGGTATAGCAATTCATAGTTTATAAAAATACAATGCACTGATGAAAGGGAACCAAATTGCTCTGAAAAGGAACCAAATTGCTCACAGCTGCTTCAGATGCCATAAGAGGATTTCAAGTGTGTTGGTTCAGTTAGCTTAACTTCCCAGCTGCAGGCACTTTTCAGACATCTCCAGGGGTAGTACATGTGGTAAAGAATCTCCGTTTAAAGACACCAGTAAATGCAGTTTGTCCGTGCAGTCCTGTAAAACCCGCTCCGGGTAGCCACTTATATGCAAGTCCAGTGGGTTTTGGTGGTGCAACATCTGGTCTGCCACTCCCAGGGAGCAAATGGCCAGAAGGGAGGGGGCATATTTGTTAAAAGCATAGTCGGCCATGCTAAGTTCGGCCATCCCTTTGGCCAGAGCTTTGGCATTGTTTGCCTCCCTGGCATCTGCCTGGCAGGACTCCATACGCATGTGGGTGAAGTGCTCCAAGAAGAAGTTGATGGTCGGTGCCCCCAGGTTGAAGTGTAGTTTGCTTAGGATGATGCATTCCAGGTTGCAGAGCTGCTGACGGGAGAAGACGTCGCAGCAAAGAGCTAGGAGCTGCTTCACTCTGGGCGGATGCACTTCCACCTGCAAGACACGCCAGCAGAAACATCCCTGCAGTGCAAGCAGAGCCCGGGAAACAAATACAGCATTGCTACACAGGCAGGGAGCAACCCGCTCCAAACAGGCAGAAGGCGGCTCTGAGCAAGAGGCCGGCCCTGCAGTGCATCAACTGCAGGCAGGCCACAGCATCGGAGAGCTTAACTACCACTGCCCAAGCGCCCCCCTTCCCCGCGCAGTGAAATGACACAAACCCAGCGCTGTGGGCCTGAAGCCTTCTTCAAAAGCAGAGGAACTTGCGCGACGCCAGCAGGGTTACGCGCCTGAGCGGTTTCCCCAGAGATCTCTTGTGGCATCAGCCTTGTTCCCAGAGCTCAGTTCACCTCTCGAGTTAGGAGGAGGGAAGCGTTTGTCCTGCGCTCCTTCTCTCTTCCCCGACGGTGCCTGACGTGCCCGTCATGTGCACCCAAGCGAAAGGGGCCCCCGCCGCCCGCGGCTCATGCCTAGTACCTGTTTGCACGCGATGAAGAGGGAAGTGACTCCCAGCAGCTGGAAGCAGT